TGCACCCACCCTGCCCTGCCCTGCCCCACTCAGGCTGAGACGAGAGGAGAGGCGGCTGCCCGTGTGCATGGGTGTGCATGTGACCGCGCGGGGATGCGTGTTCCGTGTGCACACGTGTGGCCTCATGCGTCAGTGTGCAGGCCAGTGGCGGCTCCCACAGTCCTCCAGGCTTGGGGCACCCCGGGCTGCCTCCGGGGTGGCCTCTTCTTGGAGGACAGCCCGAGAGGCCCCGGGCAGGGCCCCAGTGTGGACCTGGGCTGCAGCTGTCTGAGAGGGACGGGTGGTAGTAACAGAATAACTGATTTATGGAGCTCTTACTGTGTGGTGGGCCCTTGTTCTAAGCCCTCCGTGGCACCCATCTGTGTAACCCACGATCTATGAGGTAAGAACGACTTTTAGCCCCACTGTAAGGAGCAGGAAGTCCAGAGAGGGGAAACTGTTTTCCTGAGGCCGCTCAGCACTGAGGCAGAGCTAGTGAGCCTGGATCCACGGCTGAGGCCCGAATATTCCACTCTCCTGCCTCACAGGAGAGAAACCGCCTGCCCCACCCAGCCCAGCGTGGTCTCCGCAGGGTGGCCACTCCCTCTCTCCCCTGTGTGTCCTACAAGGTAGCCCCCTTGGAGCTTCTAAGCCCTTTGCTGACTTGGCAGCGAGGCCTTGTCCTGGGCCTGAGAGGGTCTTGGCCGCTGGGACTCATGCTTTGGGATGGCGAGCCGTGGGGGTGTGTGTGCGCGAGGCTCCACGGCCCTCCCCAAGAACCTCTCCAGTGGGCTAGAAACATCTGTCCACGCATGTCTGGGGTCTTGTCCCTTCTGCTGGCTCCAGGGCATTCCTGAGGCCTTCAACTCTGGGAGAGGCTTCCATCCGTCAGTGGGACGCCCTGGGATTTGGAGGAGACGCCTGTCCCTCCAGGCTCCTGACCTGCTGTACGGGCAGTGGAGCGAGCCATTCTCCTTCCTCTGTCCAGCATGCAGTTGCCCAGAGTTTACTTTCTGCAGCCCAGCACTCAGAGTCACCCCTCAGGGTCACCACCCCCCTGGGCCTGGAGAGAGAGAGTCCCCGCCTTCCTGACCCCTGGCCCTGGCCGTCCTGGGGCTGCCCGGCAGCGGTCGCACAGGACAGCTGGACAACACACGTGGACCCAGCTCCTGGCGTACCACGTGGGCATTGGGTGCCTGACTTCAAGAGGCCCGTGTGGCGGTCCTGCGCCTGGGGCCTAGAGCCCCACTGTGGGGCTCACCTTCCAGCCCCCCGACTTCCTAGCCATGGGATGTGCCAAGCCTCTGGGTGCCTTGGTTTCCCCGTGAGGGACATGGGGACAGTTCCAGCCTCCCCTGCCTCAGGCAGCTAGGAGGATGGATGCGGGGCTTGCGTGGTATTCTTGGCGCCAAGCCCTTTGGAAAGGAAGGGCTCCCCACAGGAAGCTGTGGTTGTGGGCTTCTCGAGGGAGGGGTGGAGGTGTTCTGAACTCTGCCTTGGCCAGGAGCTGATATCCGTCAGAGGGGAAACCCGAGGCTTCCATGTTCAGACCCGAGGACGGGCAGGCTCCGGGCTTCTCTTCCGAGCCCTCTCTCTCCTCTCCTACCCTCCTGAGACAGGACAGGAAGCCAGTTTGCAGACAAACACACACAGACCCTCAGCACACACAGCGTTACTCTCTGCCCTGGTCAGGGAGGTGGTGAGCTGGACGCGTTCATGACGGGAGCAGGACGTGGGGCCAGCAGGGCTGCTAAAAGCTTCCAGAAGCAGACGGCACAGAGAGTGTGCCCCGGGGTCTCCGGGTCACTGCGTCCCTCTGGCAGGTAGTGCACTCTGCCTCCAGCGAGGATGCAAGGAACTGGCACGGGGACGGGTCTCCCAGCAGGCGGACGACCAGCCCTGAACGAACGCGAGTCACTGTTCTCCCTGCCTGGGTTGCCCGGCTGCTTTTGTGGATGGGGACCCAGACCTGGAGAGGGGAAGTGGCTCTCATGAGCACCATCTGTGCCTGGTGGCGGCGTGACTGACAGAGTTGGGACCAAACCTCGCTCCTTCACACCATGGGGGTTTTGCTTAGGGTCCACGGCGTGCATGCCCTTGGGGAGCACTGGGGTGGGCAAGGAGCCTGGCTCCTGGGGTGCAGGCGGCCCGCCACATCCTCCCCGCCTCCCCTGGCAGCTGCGGGGTCTGCTGTGGCCAGGCCCGGGTGACAGCGAGCCGCAGCTGCGGGGCCTGGGAAGCAGTACCCTGACCACTCTGGGTCCCCATTTCCTCGCTCATCTGGAAAGCCACCAGCAGGGGCTCCCATTGTCCCCCAACCCCCTGCTGGCACTCGGATGTGCTCATATTTTCACACTGAAATGGAGGCTTGCTTTCAAAGAATTTTCTTTGAGGTCACATCTGCCGGGAAGCTATGCTCAGACGCAGCTTGAGCCACACTGACCGTGTGCCTGAATTACCCCGGCAATTCCTTTCTTCCTCGGCCTGCGGTGAGGGGCCGTACACACTTACGGAGGGGCACGAAGCTACGTGGCCTTAATTCCACGTGTAACAGGCCCATAGCAGGAAGCCTGGAAAGCACAGGGAAACACAGGGTCGGGGAGGAAAAGAAGAAACACACAAACAACACACAGCATGGGGAATTAAAAAAAAAAAAACACTGAAAAGAAAGAAAGTGAAAAAACTGGACAAGTGTCTCTAACAGGACACGGAGTTGTCGTAAGCTTTCCTGGGACTGCTGCCTGCTCCCAGTGTTGAAGAGTCTTAAAATCTCGGGGTGTGGCCCCCTGAAGCCGTTGGAGGAAATCCTTCATTTTCTGGAAACTTGTCCTGCGCCCCAGATGCCGACTGACCCACGAGGCCGCCCCGTCTGGGCCCTCCAGCAGGCCCCCTGTCCAGCAGTGAAGCACGGGGGTTTCAGGGTGCTCTAGACCCAGACTGTCTGCTTGGCCCCCTTTTCTCTGCCCCAGTTTTCTGGGGGGCCGTTGTTTGTGGACTTCACTGTGCCTCACCTTGCTCATCTGTGGAATGGGATCCTAGTAAGCTGATGAACGAGAAGTTGCCCCGGATGGAGGGGCGGTGCTGGGGGGTTGCTGCTGTGACTCTGGACACTCCCGGGCGCTCACGGACTAAGGCACAATCGCTTGAAGAGCACGTGTGGGAGGGAAGCAGCCCGGGGGGATGGAGGAGTGCCAGTTTGCTTGATACCGTTGCTTTATCTTTCCAGAATGCAGAGAGGCCAAAACCGAGTTGTGGAAGCAGCAGCGTGGAGCTCTGGGCTGGTGTCTTCCTTTGACACCTGTGTAGGGCGAGGGCACGGCCGGCCCTGACCCGTCGGTGCATTGCCCCGGCATGGACTCTGCTCCCAGGATTTGCTCCACTTTCTTTCATTTTTACTTTCCTTCTTATCCTTGCAGTTCAAGGTGTAGAGGCTGGGCAGGACCACGGAGGTGGGACAAGCTTCGTCAAGATGCTGGAGGCTGCTGGCCGGCAGCCTGGCTCCAGGGGGGACCCCTGACCTCTCAGGCTGGGATGGGCCCCGAGGATGTCTCCTTGCTTCCTCCCGTCCGTTCCCCACAGCCAAGTGACACACAGGAGGACGTCCGGGCAGGACCCCTTCCTGCCCGGCACACTCTTGCAAGCCCCTACTCGCGCCCCCTTGCCAACGGCCGACCCCCGGAGCTCAGGCCAGCTCCAGACCGGGGCTGGGGTCACCGGAAAGGCACAGGGGCAGCTGGAACAGCCCCACTGCCGCCAGAGGGGCTCTCCAACCTCCTGAGACCCTTGGGGCCTCGAGGATCCCCAAGGAGGCAGCACCCCCTGCTGGCGGGTCACCGCACCCCTTCCCCTAAATCCCGTTGCCCTGAAACCAGGGGACATTTGCTCACCACTGAGTCCATTTGTTGCCTTTGGGGCCACAGGGTGTCCGTGTCTGCAGATGTAACCTCCCAAGAAGATGCCAATAACTCCCGAATTCCACTCGTGGACATACATCCCCATGGAATTCCGACCGGGGTCCGTCGCGGGGCCGGGATGGGGATGTTCAGTGTTATGCATGCGGAGGGTGGGGGGCTGTGCAGCCCCCAGACTGGGTGTATAGGCAGCGGCAAAGACCAATTTAAAAACGTGATGCTGACTTAAAAAAACACAAAACAAAAAACCCCAACAAACCAGAAAGAGCATGACACGATCCCCTATGTTCACCAGATGGAAAACGCCTGGATAGCTACAAGGTGGAATCATACGAAATTACCAACGTTTTACTGGTTTTTCTTTTAACCTACAGGAATGGGAATGTCCCGTCGGGCAACACTGCATATGCTCTGGTGTGTCTACAGCGTCACCCCCGCCCCGTCTACAGCGCGAGGGCAATGACCACGAACCCCCCCCCCGTTACCCCGGACAACGCGGATGATTCCCGTAGTATGTGGTCAAGCAAGCCAGGGGCGAACTGTCCACACCACGACTTCATCTACCCAGGTTCCAATCAGGCGGATTGGATCTAAGTTCCTGAAAGCGAGGCCAGGGTTAACCTGCGGGGGCAGGTGGTGACCGCGAGGGGGCACAGGGGGCTCCTGGGGGCGATAACAGGCCGCGTGTGAAACCTGCGGAGGCCTGTGTGCGTGATCTGCGCACTCTCCGTACCCGCCCGTGCTGCCCTGAGAGACATGTTCAGGGATGTGTGCCCCCAAAGCGACCAGGGGTGTTTACGGGGACACCTAGGAGCGTAGGGTGTGTGTGTGGAGCGCTGGAATAGGGGCCCAGAACTTTCCTCCTGCCTCCCTGGCAGCCCAGGGGACATCCAGCCGAGTCCCCCCAGTCCCTCCGCAAGCTGTCCCCGGCAGCCCTGCACTGCTGGGGGCCCAGCCCTGGCTGGCAGGAAAGGAGGAAAGTCCCCACTGGTTTCTTTTTCTTGCCACCGAAGGGGCTGCAGGTATTTGTTCCTGAAACTCACGGCTGAGCTAATTTTACACCGCAAGCGAGACACTGGGGCGCGGGGGGGGGGGGGGGGGGGTATAAAACGATGCTCTCGGGGGTCTGATCTGAGCAGGATGGGAACCCTGGCCGGATGGTGGGGGTGACACTGGCCGACGGGGTTGGGGAGCAAGGGCTGGTGGACACGGGGGCTCGGAGTCCCCCCGGCATCCATTCATAACCTCAGACGGGGCACTAAGAACTGCGGTCTCGCTTTCTGGCTCTGTCACTTGGCTCAGTTTCCCCATTTCCAAGGGGCAGGGTGGATACAGCGATGCCCGAGGCCCCCTGCGAGCCCATGGTGGTGCCCCATCTTCACTTTGGTTTCCTCTCTCATGTTAGGGGACCATCCTGCCTCCAGAGCAGAGAAAGTCACATCATGATATGATGAGCCCATGGGATGGTGGAAAGGAAATCAGAATGAATTTTCTCTGAAGTGCTTCCCTGGGTCCTTTAGCCCTGCTGGCTCAAGCTCAGAAGATGCCGACCATTCTTAAAAGAGCAAGTGTTATTTCTGATCTTATTTTTCCAGAAGAAAGCGGAACTTCGTGTCCTTCTCCCCCCACCCCCAGACACGGACAGGAGTTAAAGTAGGAAAAATACTGGGGTTAGCAAGAGCACATCGGCTGTGCCGAGCAAAGAGAATCATGCCCAGCATTCTTGGAATGGGCATCCAAATGCTCGCTGAATGAGAAGGGTATCTGGAAGGTCAGTGGCTTGCGTAACCCTGAGCCTCATGTGTGGGAAGCCTCACACAAAATCTCTTTGTGGCCATCATTGCAGACGTGGTGGATCATGGCGGGCCTGGCGCCATTCCCCAGCCCAAGAGTGCCTGCCAACCCTGCTGTGTTTATCTCTTACAAGGATTAGATGTTGCCATTAGGTTAAATCACTAAAAAGCCACACACACGAACACTTTACTGCCCTACCTCTTAAAAAGCTCTGCCCCCCTCACTGAACACAGGGGGATGGAAGAAGCGGCCGCTGGTGGCCACGGCTCTCACCTGCACGGGGCAGTCCCTGTTCATGCCTGTTTCGCTCTCATTGTTAGTGACTCCTCTTTCACACTCAGAAACGTCCCGGTCCTTGGCTCAGCTACATAGCCATGCTGAATGTGCGCCACTGACCCCCTCCCCCAGCCTGCCGGTCCCCCTGTCCTCTCTGGCCGATGTACTCTCCAAGGCGTCACCTTTACGCTTTCCAATGTCGCTTCTATGAACACCTCATAGATTTTTTCCTGGAGTCACGTCCGAGGGAGGAATGAGGCCCCGGCTAGGTTACGGTGCCTCTTTGATCAGCTGAGAGCGTGTCCCCTTCCCTTCTTGCTGGGGCTGTCAGGAAGCTCAGAAATAAGGCTGGGCTATGTGCCATTCCTCCAACAGCTCTTGGCCTTTGGTGGTTGTTTTGCGGGGTTTACGCATTTCAGCTGCTCTTTCTTGAGAAGCTGACTTCTAGACCTTCCTGCGTGTGGGTGGCTCGGGAATGCACAGTGACGGTATTGTTGGGTGGGGGGGACTGGGTCACGCCTCCAGGCTTGAGCACACCTGCCTGGGAGCAGGTTCTAGGACGAACACATGGAATGGTGAAGGTGGGGTCCCGGCACCAGGCACTGGGCTAACATTCCCTGCTTATCTCCTTCCGTTTCCCCAAATCCTACATGATGCGTGCTTTATTATCCCCATTTTGCAGAGGTGAAAGCAAAGATGTAGTCTGAGAGGAAAGCCCACCATGCTTCCCACTCAGTGAGCAAGCAGAAGAACCAAGCTTTGCCCCTGAGACTGCTGGTGGCAGAGGTCATGTTCCCGGCGTGGCACCTGGCGTGGCACTCTGCACGTGGACACTATGAACTTGGAGAGACGCACCTGTCTGAGGTCCTGTGGGCAAGGAGTGGCAAAGCCAGGCCCGGGACTGGACTTGGAGAGGCCGTGTCGCGGGCTCACAAACACTCAGAAGGAGGGGCCGGGGCTGGGGCTGGGGCCAGATCCTTGTGGGTCTAGCCCTGTGAGTTCACGGACGATAGACCCGTCGTGAGCTCTCTGGGGGACGTTCCAGGCACATTCCTAACCTTTTGAAATTGATGTCATGGAATGAAAACACCGTCCTCGGTTATTGCTGTCAGAGGCCGTAAACGCCTCTGGCATCAAAGGGCGAGCTGGGCAGGTGCTTTCTTGTGCTCTGCGGGATGTGCGAGTCAGTGGGGCGCTCATGGACGTTCCTCCCAGGTGGGGGGCTGCCATGCTCTGCTGACCCGGACAGGTGAGGACACAGAAATGGCCAGCTGTGTGTGTGGACAGCAGGACCACATGCGATCACAGGCGCCACGCACCAGCTGCAAGGAGGGCTCCTGCTGGTCCCGTGTGAGAAGACCTGCCCTCTGGCCTCTCCCACCTCTGTCCTCACGCATCTTCCCGGGGCTGACGCCGGACTTACCTGGGGTCCCGGCCCACGGCGATCCTCTCTCCACGGGGCCTCCCCTAGATGGAGTCTGACGGTTGCTCTACATGAAGCAGAAAGTACACGTGGTCTGTGTTGGACACACAGCAACCACTCGGAGCAGGCAGAGTCCCTCTGAAATATTGACTCTGGCTGGAAAATACTCGGATGTTCCAGTTTTGTTCTGGGTCACTCGTTTGAGAAGGCTGGAGGGGGAGTTCCAGTTTGCGTTGGTGGACTTAATGTTTACCACATTTTTCTACTTGTGGTTTAGTGAAACACACACACACTCTCAGATCTGGGGTTTATTCCTCTGGGATTTCCTCAGAGGAAGCCGTGGATCTCTGGTCTGTTTATTCACTCAACAAACATCTAAGGGGACCGACTATGTGCTGGATAAGTATCTGGGCGAGGGCGCCTGGGTGGCTCAGTTGGTTAAGCGACTGCCTTTGGCTCAGGTCATGATCCTGGAGTCCCGGGATCGAGTCCCGCATCGGGCTCCCTGCTCGGCAGGGAGCCTGCTTCTCCCTCTGACCCTACCCCTCTCCTGTGCTCTCTCTCTCTCATTCTCTCTGTCTCAAATAAATAAATAAAAATCTTTAAAAAAAAAAAAAGTATCTGGGCGAGTGGGCATGTTTCCACCAAGGGGCTGGGCAAACACGGAAGCCAGCACTCTTTCTTGGGGGGCTGCTTGTAGGGCAGAAGCAGCAATGCTGTTGGGGTTATAACCTCTTCTGCTCCCCCAGCCACACCTCTCCTTTGGCTGCCTCCTGCCGGCCCAGAAAGGTCTACCTGCATGATCTTCTGGCCGCACGACCATGCACGTCCCCCAACTAAAGCCAGCACCCCCTCCTTGCCCCGTGGCTCCTCCTTGTTACCCAGACTCCACACCTCAGCAGGGTGGCCAGCTCCTCGCTCTGCCTCCCCCCCCAAACTCGTGCAATGTGACAAATTCCCGCCACTCACCTCCATGTGAGCTCTTGCTTCCAGCCCTTTCTCTCCTGGCCAGGGTCTCCGTTCGGACGCTGCCACTTCCCTGGCTCTGTCTTCTGCTGCCCGTGATCTCCAATGCACAGCTTTGGGCACCTCAGAGGATGTGCTGACTTCCCTTCTGATTCCACTGGGTTTCTTCATGTATTTTGAAGCTGTTAGTAGGTGTTGATATAGGCTTGTTCTATGCTCTTAATGAATTGACCCCCTGTCACTAGGAAATGGCCACCTGGCACTCGTGGTGGTGGTGTCATAAAATCTCCTTTGTCTGGGGGCGCCTGGGCAGCTCATTCGGCTAAGCGTCTGCCTTTGGCTCAGGTCATGACCCCAGGTCTTCGGATGGAGCCCCGTGTCGGGCTCCCTGCTTGGCAGAGAGCCCGCTTCTCCCTCTCCCTCTACTCCCCCTACTTGTGCTCTGTCTCTCTCAAATAAATAAATAAAATCTTAAAAAAAAAAACCTCCTTTGTCTGATATTTATGTAGCCACCTCTGCTTTCCTCGTTCCACCCCACCCCTACCTTTGCACTTCGTGCATTGACAGCGGGTCTCCGGCAGACATCGGATGGACGTGGCTGCTTGTGGACATTCTTGAGCTTTGTTCTGAGGATCGGGGAAGTTTCCCGGAGACCAGACGGTTGTTACTGACAAAGCACAGACCCTCCATGCTCACTCCATTCCGTGGGGCTGGGAGGGGTCCTCAGGTCACCAGACACTCCTGGAAAGTTTGAGACAGACCGCCAGAGTTAAAACCCAGCAAAGGGAGAGCTTTACACTGGGCATCGGGCGTGATGGACCGCTTGGCAGGTCCCCGGCAGGTGGTCCCCCAGGGGGGGTGTCCGGGGGGGTGGGAAGCTCTCGTTTGCAGCTGGTGCGGAGGAAAGACACTGCTCGCAAGTAGGCTTCCCAGCCCCCGCCCCTCCGGCTTGTGTGTATTTAATGTTATCCGTGTGCCTCTGCTTCTTCGTCTGCAAAATGGGGAAAGTAGTGCCTGCCTTCCTGACTTGTCGTGGGGATGGAGCGAGCTTTCATGCGTAAGCCACTTCCCACCACGTCCGGCACATTGTGAGGGCTCAATAAAGCGGTCCTTGTTAATTATCATTATCATTTAGTTTCTCACCTTCCAACAGCTCGAGGAGGCAGAAAATCTCATCCCCATTTTACGAAAGCAGGTGGCGAGGACGCTGCATCCCTTGATGGCAGTCCAGGAGAGGGGCTCTGGTGAAGGGCTTGCCTCTCTCCTGCAGACTTGGTTCACGGTTGCGCCACGGGGCGCCCCACGTGAGCTGGGCCCGGAGGCCCCCGGAGGGCAGCTGCAGGCCAGCCGGGCTGGATGGATGTGACTGCAGGGCGATTTCGCAGGGAGCCAGGTTCTGAGTCTCCAACAGCAGGTGCAACCAGAATGGGAGGGTCACGACCTCACACACCCGCGGGGGATGTTTTCGGAGCCCTTCTAGCTCCTTCGCTTCATTTTACATACAATTAACCAGAGCTGGTGATTATTAAGTGCTGAGGCAGCTAGTGCTCCTGAGGAGGCTGATTCCACACGGTAACCCGGACAAGGTCAGTTGGTGAGAAGCATCAGAGCCCAGATTTGGTTCTGGTTGTGGAGCCCCCAGAACCCCACTTCACGGATGGGGACACGGAGGCCCAGACAGGGCAGGCCCCGTCCGAGGCCACGGAGTGGGGTCCCTTTGGAGCGGACACTGTGGCTGGAGCAGCGTCTGGCCCTGCCTGGGGGCGATCCGTGGGAACGGAGCTGGGTTTGGGGGCTGTCTTCTCGCTGGTCAGTGACTCTTTGAGGACAGAAGTCAGGCATCGTTCTCATTTTGGAAGTTGAGTGTCTGGCGTGGTGTCCAGCACCTGGGCGGCTCCCGTGGGGCAGCCCTTAGGAACTTGGACTGGGACCCTGACCTCCCCTTTTCCTGGGGCAACGTCAGCTCCCCGAGCGTCAGTAGGCCCATCTCGAAAATGGGCACATCATGCCATGTCCTTTAGGACGGAACGTGGTCTCACAAAGGTGAAGCACACGGCTCAGAGTTAAGAGCCACGAGGAAGAGAGTTAACAGAAACGATCACAACAACGCAGCGAAGCTTCTGGCTTCCCTGAACTCCACGGGAGTCTGCATTCGCGCCCCTGAGTTTGGGCTCCTGCTCCCCTTTCCTCGCGATCAGTGCTCCCTTCACAGAGCACACAGGCTTGGCACTGTCCTGGTAGGGAGCGGCCCCATTTTATTACTAAAGATTAAACGAAATAAAACAAAACAGACACTGAGGTCTCCTGACCATTTCCCCTTTCAAAGGTGGAGAACAGCACATCAAAACCAGAAGATGAACCAAAAGGTTGCTGGTGGGTTCTAGAAAACTCCGACCGCAAGGATGAAGAAGAATGTGCTGAGTTATATAAGAAGTTGGTTTGTACGTGATTCTGGGGAGGGGTGCGTGCTCTCTGAGGTGAGTCACTGCCGAACGTCCTTCTCCCTGGAGCACCTGGGCTGCTCCCGTCATGCTCTGGGGCCACAGGTTCGCCCAGGGCTCTCCCACCACCACCACCACCGCCGAGCATGCATTCTCTGAACATGCTTCTGAAGTTTCAGATAGGATGAAAAAACTTCCAAGAGCTTCCTTGAGAAAGTGCTGGAGCCTTGGCTCCTGCCCACACGGGGATGGGCCGCTGAGGTGCTGGAAAGAGGAACCCAGGTACCACGGGAGCTACCCGGGTTGTCCCGGCTGCGTGGTGCGCGTCCGGCCCTCCCACAGGCAGACCCCAGGCAGGACGCGCCAAGCAAGAGATGATGGGGGCCTACGCCCATAATACACCCAAGTGCGAGCTGCTACACAGAGAAGGAATCATGCTTTCCCTCCACTTGGGAGCCGCCTCCGGTGGGAACTGAGGTCCCTTTTCCTGAATGCTTCATTACTGCACCAAATGTGTCCTTGCCCCAGACCCCCGGGGTGCTCTAGGCTGGCGGCCGTGGCACGTCTTGCCACCTCTGAGCAGATGGAAGCCGGCCCCCGAATCTGATGGTGGAAGTGACCTGGTGGCTTTCTCTCCCTTAAATCTGCGGCCGGAGTTACTCCCGTTCCCAGTTCCCTGAGGCTGGGAACTCAGGGATGGATTCATTGGCCGAGTGTCTGTGAGCGGCTGGGGGTCAGGCCCTCTTGGGCTCGGGGATGCAGCGGGACATCAGCCCTCCAGCTGCAGTTTCCCTTTGGTGGGGAAGACTCTCGTGTGTACACAAGCCATACCCCCAATGGTAGAAACAGCAGTAAGGGGGGTGGCTGGGTGGGCTACTGAGAGGCCCCAAGAACCTGGAAACGGTTCTGTTGAGGAAGGCCAGCAGGAGGGGCCGTATAGGCCGTGGAAACACAGTGGCCTCTGCCCAGTGGACCTCTGCTGGGACCCCTGAAAACTTCAGTCCTACAGACTGGCTGCAGCTGGAGGCTTCTGGAGACACCCCCTGGCTTCTGTGGTCTCACCTGTGCCCTGTTGTTTCCTGGGCGCTGTGCTGGGCGAGGTGTGGCTGGAGAGGTGACCGTGGGCCATTGAGAAATCATCCCGGCAAGGGGCATGGCCCTCGGAGACCCCGCCTGGGGGATGGCTCCGTCTCCAGGGTGTGGGAACCAGGGGGCTGGCTCTCCCACGTGCTGGGGCAGTCCCCAGACAGGACATGGAGCCAGGAACCACCTGGGGCTGGGTGTGGGAGGAGAGGGGATGCCAGGCTGCTCCAGGACACCTGGGTTTGAATCCCCTTTGTTGCCTACCCGCGGTGGGGCCTGGGCTAGTCCTCATCTGTAGAGGGGGGACTGCCCGTCCTGCCAGGTGAGTGGGTGTGATGGTCTCCACTAGTCACTTGAAATGTGTGAGCCTGAATTGAGATGGGCCCCAAACCACACAGCTGATTTCAAACTTCATAGAAAAAATGAATGTAAAATACCTTACTAATACTTTTTCAATATTGGATTACTTGTTAAAAGGGTAACATTTTAGATATATGGGGTGAAATAAAATATATTATGAAAATGAATTTGTTTTGTCTCTTTTTGTTCCTGTCACTGCGCTCACCTCCCCTTCCTGCTGGGCAGGGCTGGCCTAGAGCACGGGCTGCATATTGGAACCAGCTGGAGCATTTACAAACCACTGACCCCTCCCTGCAGGCTCTGCTTCAGCCTTCCTGGGATGTGGCCCAGGTGTTTGGAGTTTTCAGCGCTCCACGGGTGACTCTTATGTTGGCAAGTGATTAGCTAATCAAGTGATTAGCAAGTTTCTAGAGCAGGTGTCCTTACGATCCCAGTGACAACAGGATGATTGCCCACGGTTCTGCAGGCAGCAGGGCCAGGGGAAGAGAAACTCCAGGGCACCTGTCAGGTGCCCTGCCTCAGCACTTGTGTCCATCACCCATGACATTGTTCTACTAACCCCATAAGCCAGGGCCCGTGTAACCCTACTTCACTGATGAGGAAACAGGACATCACTTCCTGGAGTCACATGCCTAGGAAGCAGCAAGACTAAGGTCTGAACTCATGGTTTCTCCATTGCACACCTCTGTGTGTGAGACTAGCTCATGGAGGCAACCATGGCTCAGGAGGACATGCTCCTCAGAGCCTGGGATGGAGGCCTCGGGGAGGGTGAGAAAAGTAATGAGATGGCGGTAGCACATGGTTCAAGGCTAGTATAAGTACAAACAAGGACAATGATCATGACTTACGTCATTAGTCTGTCACCCTCACCATCACCACCACCGTCATCACCACCATCACTATATAGACAGACCCTTGGTCAGTGTCTCTCGCTCTGTGCCTTTCTAAATCAGCTGTGCACAATCTCAAAGAGTTTACTGGGCCCAGTGGGGTGGGGTTGATACAGCAGGAGAAGTAATCAGGTTCTTAGGAGCTATGCTCTTTGGAGGGTGGATTGAGGGAATCTTTTGGATCCTGATCCCTACCCTGATTATAACTGGATCAGTAGGTAGCAATACAGGGCCTCTGACCATATTCATGATTGCCCTTCAATTCTGCTCAGGGAGAATAAGGCTGTTATTTCAGGGGAAATCTGATTATAGTTTTGCAACAAGATAAGTGCCCTTCTGAGGAAGCCTTGGTCTGGCATCTTCAGAAATAGCTCCAGAGCCATGGAACGACTGGGCGCTGTCTTCACAAATCAGCATAGGGATCCCCTGGATTCTAACCCTCTCTCTACTCCCTCCCTGGGAAGCCCAGAGAATGCTCCAAGGAGCGCAGGCTCGTTGACTTGATGAGGAAACTGTCACCATGACTGGCTGAACTTGGAGGAGAGGCAGGATCTGTCTTACTGCTCTGACAGCCCGTCCTCGGGCGAGGGAGCCCTGGGAGCCTCAGTCTCCTCGTTAAAAATGAGATTTAGAATATACAGATCCAAATTTGACAGGGGCTCTTGTAAGGGCTCACGGGGATGGATACCACCTCTGAACTTAAAGCCCTCGTGTCAGTTATCCCCACTGAAAGATATTATCTATATAAATAAATATGAGAAGTGAAAGCATAAGAAAATACATAATCAGAAGAGCTTTAGGGCCCTGGCCGGGACGAGGTGTTCTGTGCTGGCCCTGCAGCTCACCGCCACTGCGGCGGCCTCTGGTGGGCAGCCATCCGTGTACAGAACTCTGGTGGCTCCATGTGGGAGCTTCACGGCCAGAGGGAGGAGTGGCGTCACTCCCAGAAGGAGTGGGAGTGTCCCTCCGGTACAGATGGCCTGGGCGGTTTAAGGAATCTTCTTTGATTTACTGACGAAGTGGTAGCAAGCTAATGCTATGCAGAAGGGTCTCCCGCGTGACCACGTGGAAACGCACCTCCCTGTGCCCCACACTTGGACCTGCTGTGGACTCTGGGACCCTGGAGGACTCAGAGCCCCACCACCAACTCCCTTCTTGTGGCCCCTTGGCTAGCTTCCCAAACCCCTGTGTCTTGGCTCTCCAACCTTGTCTTCCAAGGACTCCTGGTACCAGCCACAGTGCCAGTCTCTTGCTATGCTCACAGCAGCTGTTGGCATGAGAAAGTCCCTTGTCTGAGCCACCAGTGGACGATGAGCTAACATGGCAGGACAAGCAAGCCAGACAGAATGCCTTCAGCTGCAAGCCGCAGAAGACCCGGCCCCAGTTGGAGTAAGCTACCAGGGGATTTATTAACTTACCTCACTAGAAGTTCTGACGTAGGGAAGCTCCAGGCTAAGTCACGAGCTCAGTGACTTTGTGAAGGACTCCAGTTTGCTTCATCGTCAGCGTTGCCATCCTCAGCATGTTTTCCTCAGGTATCTCCCCTTATGGGCCCAAGATGGCTGCCATGGTTCCGGACCTCACACGTAGGCGCAAAAACCTCCAGTCATATTTCCTGGCAAGAGAGCATGTGACTCCTGAAGATTTGCCATAAAACACAGGGAAGCACAGCAGACTCATCCCCAAACAGCCTACAAACATCTGTGTGACAACACTGCCCTCTGTTCCCTAACATTTTACAGACATTAATGGATGTCTTGTAAAATACCAAGGCGGGGGGTGAGGACTCAGGGGCCATCAGGGTGCAGCAGCCCTGCTTTGCAGATGAGGCATCTGGAGCTCTGAGGAGTGAAGGGCGCCCCTGAGGCCGCAGGAACTCTGTAGCAGGTGTGATGCTTAGGGCTGAGGAGGGGGCCGTGGTATTAGGACTCAGCTCTCCTGCCTCCCGTGTTCACAAAAGTACTCTCTTCCCTGGACACCACTGACTGGTGTTGCCTGAGGATCTCCCCGGCACGGGGGCGGGCCGTGCTGTGAGCCGCCAGGTGAAAATCGCTGGCACGCTGGCCCCGCCGTTTGGGCTCTCAGAGAGCGCGAGGCTGTGTCTCTGGGGTGCTGGCTCCCTCTTGTGAATAAAACGAAGAATTGCATGGTGTTCCTTCAGGGTCCACAGGGCTTCCCTGGGCCCAAGAAACACCTGAACGGCTTGCTAAAATGCAGATGCCAGGGCCTCGTTCTCAGGGATTGGGATCCAGCGGGTCTGAGGAGGCGCCTGGAAATATGCATTTTAACAAGTGTTCAGCATGATGCTCATGCCGCTGGTCCACTGAACACACTTTGAGATCCGCAGCTGCCCAGCAGTCTGGGGTCAGGGAAAGCCCACTGAATGCACATGGAGTCTGAAGACCTGGCTGCTAGTCTTGCTGTGTGACCTCAGGCAAGGCACATTCCCTCTCTGGGCCTCTGCATTCTCATCCATAAGACCAGTGGACTAGAAAGGGGGCAGCAAGATTTGGAGCGTGAGCATGTGTGGCTTCACCACCATCATGTTGAGAACACAGTCCAGACTCCAAGGAACACACGCCGTGTGACGCGGTTTATGTCAAGTTCAGTAACGGGCAGAAGAAAGTTCCGCGTTGGCAGTCAGGAGAGTGGTTGCCTTTCCGGGGGTGGGGGGGGCGGGGTGCCCATGAAGGGATGCAGAGGGTGTTTTCATGGGCTGAGGAAGCTCCACTCTGTTCTCTGGGCGCTGGGTCCACGGGGTGTCCCGTGTGTGAAGCCCGCTGAGCACCGCATGAAGGACTTGCGCACTTTGTACCTGGTAGGCTTGCGGAAAAGGTTTACATTGGAAGCACAGGGAAGGCTTGGGATGGTGCAGGGTCTCCAGGCCGCGCCAGCTCTGGGTCCCAGCCTGGCTCTCTCTTTCCGCTGTGCTCAGCCCCCGGGGCAAGGTCCCAGCAGGGGACGGGAGCTCCTTGCCTGGGGGTTTGGCAGAGTTTTCTGAGGTCAAGCCACGAGTTGGTGGAGGATGAAGAGATGAGTTAAGGGCCGAATTTCCCTGCAAGGAAGACTCTGGTCTGACTCGGGCTCCTTGCTGGTTGCCTTGGCAACCAGCTGTTGTCCGAAAAACAGAACAATGTGAGAACGAGTTGGGGTCAGGCAAGGAAAGACCCTCGGGGGAACTCACGCACACAGAGGAGTAAGAGGAAGTGGTCCACGCTGGTGCTGGGCAAGCTTCCCCAAAGTGCGAGCAGCCTCCCTGGCTGCCCTGGAAGCTTTGCATCCATCAAAGGTTTGCCAACCAAATATCCCTTCTCATTGACAGATACTCTGATTCCAGGGCTGTGATTCCGACAAGGACCGCGGGGGCTGTGAGATAGAACCGGTCTGTTCAGCTTTCCCGAATCTGGAGGTTGAATATGGTTGAGCTGCATTTAATAATCACTTCTGTTCACTGGCCCTTCTCTGCCAGGGGTCTCGTAGACCTTGGAGTCTTGGAGACCCCCAGCCTCTTTGTTGTCCAAGAGCTCCGTGAATGTTCTCAGTGCACGGTGGCGGTCGGCTGCAGGTGGAGGGAGAAGCTAACAAGTCTGACCCCCTACCCCCGCCGGAGCCGCTGTTCCGGTGGTGGCCACATGGGGCCGCTGTGGGCCACGGAGCTCGCACAGCCCCAGGGACCCTTGCCGTCTGTGGAGGCGGGACCCTGGGATGTCCCCAGGCTGGTTCACACTCACGGGCTCCACCTTGTTCCCCCAAGTGCATCGTGGCAGCGGGGTGACAGGGTTCCGAGGTGTGTCTAGTCTCCCCAGACAGGGGACACAACCTCCCCAAGGACAGCCGCCGAGAGGACCAGGCCCCCGAAACACATACACACTGCGCATAGTGGGCAATTTGGAACTGTGGAGCAGATATTTATTCTAAGGTATTTTAGGGATGGCGTTGCTCCAGCTAAGGATTCCCGCAAAGGCCCTCTTGAGAAAGGGTGTGGGGTCTATAGCAGGTAGCAGAAAAACTAGGCTTCCAAGTTAGGTAGTTTTCTGCCAAATAGTCCCTGTGGACTCTGGGCAAGGGGATCCCCCTCAGGCCTGGCCAAGGGGACGTCGGAAGAGCTCCCACCCGGTGGGCCGTTGTGAGGAGCAAGGAGGCAGTGCACACAGAGCGGCCGGAAGGCTTGCGGCGAGCCCGTCCTGCACCTGACGCCCTCCAGCGGGCCGCCCCCTAACGACTAGTTCCGGGTGCATGTCCACCCTCCCTGCCCCGCCTGCAATCGGCCATTTCTGCAAGGCGCTGCGGTTCAGGAATTCATACTGTTGCGGATCTCCCCAGGGGACTGTAATGTGCAGGCCGCAGGCTGGATGGGTGATGGGCTTGGCGCTCCTGCCGGTCTCTCGGCAACCACGTGGGGTGAACATTTACTCTTGTGCTGGTGGTGTTCGCACACCCTCTCGTTCAAGGGTGAAAGCAGCGCACGAGGATAGACTGTGAACTACTTTTGCACATGGAAACCAGGGGCTCCCAGAATGGGGCATCTGGGGTGGGGGCCACATGGTGAGTGGGGGACAGAGGCAGGGTTGGAGCCCAGGCCTCCCCGTGTCCAGAGTCCCTCTGCACCCTAAGAGCTCTGAAAACCGGTCTCCCCTCGATGCCCGGGCTTGTCCTCCTGGTCCCTTCCCCCAGTGAGGTTTCTCCAGAGGTTTTCCTGTTGGCGTTTCCATTCTTTTGCTCACGCACTGTTACACCCGCGGAAGATGAAGCCAGAGTGCAGGGAGCGTGCAGGGCCAGGCGGACGCGGAGCCGGCAGCTGGCAGCAGGGCTGCGGCTCTGAGCGGAGGAGCTCAGCCTTGGGGCGCGGGGACCAGAGGCCACAGGCACCGTGTGGGGAAGCTGCTCGTACAAAGCCACAATCATCTCCGGTAACTTTGCGCCACAGCAGGAGTTTACACCGGCCGTCAGTACCCTGAGGAGGCTGCACCGGGGGCCGTGGGGCCCTGGAGGACTCGGGGTTTGTCCAAGACCAGAGCGGGGGACCAGCCGCCTTGCCCCAGGCCTGGCTGCCCGGCGCATCTCTTACCGCCTTTCTTAGGTTTAGACTCTTCATTTAAAAAAGGGAATACAGGTGCACTGAAAAGCTTTGGAAAATACAGAAATACAACCGTCAAGTCCCGGTTGCAGACTCAAGTGTTATCCGACTGGCAGTCAGGTGTCTTTCCTTCCAGACTATGGCCCCTGCACTGTCAGCAGACTTTCCATTCATGTTCTTTCACGACTGTGTCTGGATAATAATGCAACCACGGGCGCGCACCGGGCACAGCACAGCGACCCTCTGAGGGATGCACATCCTACTTTACCGCCGCAGTCCTGCCGCCAGACTCAGGATTTGAACCCCGGACGGCAGAACGCCATGGACCCCAGCCAGAGTTCTCCGGGCATCTCCAACAATAGCAGCTGGGTTCCTTTAATCTCCAGGTTCTGACTGAGCTTCCAGGATCCTGACATGGTCAAAATGACACCCCTGACAGCTCTGTGAGCCTTTATTAGCTTCCAGACTGGCCAGGCCCTTCTGGAATCTTCTGACCCTGGCTATGAGGTCAGGGCGGCATTGCCTCATGTCTCTCCCGCTAGAGCCTCCTGGAATAAAGGGCTCTGGGCTGGTAGATCTGTCGGCTGCTGCCAGAAACGTGGGCTCAGGGCCCTCCAGGATTTGAAAGCCATTTGGGGCTCCAGCCATCAGCACTGAGCAGAGGAGCTGGGGAAGCAGGACATCGGGCCGGCGGCCTGGTCTTCCCTCTCAGCATGGCCTCGCCATCCCCCTGCTGACACCTCTGTCTGGCCCTCCCTGCAGAGAGAGATAAGCATCTTTCCTGGGGACGCAACAAGTCACCTTCTGGCCCAAATCAAACCATGCCGAGCCTTCTGGCAAGGTGGTTGGAGTGCTCGGAGCTCCATATAACAGCGAGGGGCTGGCTGCCTGGGTCCTGGAGCCTCATCCATCAGCTGGGCGGCTTTGATTCTGATAACGGTTTGATCTCCAGTGACAAGAAGGCTGGGAGAGGTTTATGGCCCCACTTCCCCCAGGCCTTGAGTCGAGCTCAGTGGCTCCAGAGGACCTTGTCCAGCCGGGGGTGGCCTGCATTTGGCCCAGGAGCCTGTGGGCCTGGAGGCCCATGTCTGAAATGAAGCAAAGGGGTGGGGGACAGGAACCCTGGCCTTGGAGAAAAGACAGGAACATAGTTCCTAAGAAGAGCCTTGTGGGGAGCTACCTTTCTGTTGCCTTTTGAATGCTTGTCTCATGTAAGTATAACGGAAGGCCACTTTTCAGACGAGGAAGCAGGCCCAGAGACAGACAGAGTAGTCAAGAGGCTGCCCAGCTGGAGCCCGGAGCTGCGGTTCCCACAGGAACGGAACGCTAGGGCCTCCTTAGCACCAGAAAGTTTCCCAAACAGAGAGGGAGGTGGGGCTGGGCCCTAAAGACACGCACTCACTCCGGGGACAGAGGCTTTTCAGCTGCTGCTGGTGGGGAAGAAAGTCTGGGGGGTTGGTGGTCGGCGGCCGACAGGTCGTTAACGCTCTATAACATTTGCTC